TTTTTTAAACAGCTGGTTGAACATTTTGTACCCAATTACTAGTAGGTTAATTATCAACTGGTCAGTTTAAGGGTTGGATATAAGAAGAGAATTATAAAGAGGCTAAATCTCAGAAGTAAAGATGAGAAGATGTTTTCCAGTCTGTGAAACCTGCACCTAAGAAAAGTGGAACAAATACAGATTAACGTTCCTCAATGAAACATTGGAAATACTTTGAATATCCCATCATCTACAGGACATCCAATCCTTAAACGGGTTCAATCATCCATTTATCCATCATCCATCCATCCATTCATCCTTTATCTGCTTCTTCCTTTCAGGGTTGTGAGGGTCACTGGTGCCCATATCCAGTAGTCACTGTGTGAGAGGCAGGGGACGCCCTGGACAGGTCTCCAGTTTATCACTGGGACACCTGGACAGGTCTCCAGTCCATCACAGGGACACAGAGACAAACGAGACAAACAACCATCCACTCTCTCACTCACACCTAGGGACAATTTAGAGTTACCAATCAGTCTAACATGGATGTTTTTGGTCTGTGGGAAGAAACTGGAGTACTCGGAGAAAACCAACGCATGCATGGAGAGAGCATGCAAACTCCACCCAGAAAGTCCCTCAGACGGGATTTGATCCGGTGAACTCACTGGGAAGCTGCAGCTCTACCAACTGAGCCATATTTTCAAATATCCAAATTGGAAATTTAGTTTGAAAAAAAAAAAAAAAGCTATGAAAGCCACGTCCTCCATTCTAAAGAGATGAGAGACCATATGCATGTTATCAACTCACAGTTTAAACTTCAAACTTTTTGGCTGCATGGGGGTGGGGGGGTGGGGGTGGGGGGATTAGTGCCTTTGGCACACAGCTGGAACAGCTCATCCGTTCAAAAACGTATATGTAAGAATTTAAATGAAATCCTCTCCCAGCAAAAAAAAGAGCCAGGAATGTTGAACAGCTAGAATCATTCACCAGAGCAGAATGGGACAACATTCCCTCCAACTACTGTTCTCCTGGGGTCCTCCAAAACCTCAAACAACTGGCCTCCCCAGGTCCTCCAGAACCTCCATTAACTGGTCTCCTCAGGTCCTCCAGAACCTCCAACAACTGGCCTCCCCAGGTCCTCCAGAACCTGAAACAACTGGTCTCCTCAGGTCCTCTAGAACCTCCACCAACTGGTCCTGAGGTCCTGGATGTTCACAGACTGGTGTTAAAAGGAGAGGAGAGACGTCACGTAGGAAACCTGGACATGGAACGACTAAAGAGACGTGTTGCTGTCGTGAAATGTAAAATTAACTTGTTTTCCTTTAAAAGTTATGTTCCAATATGAATAAAACACGAGTCTGAGATTTGAAAACTTTTGCGTTTTGTTCATTTACATTTTCCACAATATCCCAACTATTTGGAGTTGTGTCAGATCTGCAGCTTCTTCCATTCTTCATGTTTTCAAAGGCTAAAGCAGAGTATTTGCACAGAACAAGTCAAACCGTGAATCACGGCTGTAGTAATTTCCAAACTGTGTTTACACACCTCAGCACAGAGGATTGATTTGTATGTTCTGATTTATGCAAATGGAATGCACATTTCTGAGAAAATGCCAGCACATTTAGTGTCCTGTAATCTCCTAATTACCCGAAACACAACAGCTAATTAAAGCGATGTCTTCCACAGAGCTGCAGCTCAGACTGAGTATAACCCTCCCTGGGATTTGTTGTTCGGATATTTGATTGGACTCTTCGACATGTGCCTCACGCATGTGGCTTCTGTGATGGATGAACTGGTGCTGGTGGGTCTGCCCACCGTGGCTGCCGTTACGGAGGCAAGTGCAGACAAATGAGTCGGCAGCGTGAGAGCCCAGAAACACTGAGGCTGGGCAGCAGCATGCAGAGAGGAATATTGACGGCGAGAGCAGCGTGCACTCTCATTCTGTGTGCTTTCAGATGGCATTACAGGCACACAGAGATGGTCATGCTAAGAACCATCTTTGGACCAAATGTGAGTCCCAGCAGGCTATGCAGGGACTTTACTTTTACACAACTGGTATTGAACTGTTAGCAACAGAGCCATCGCTGGTCCTCCAACTCTAATAATTGCCTGTAATCGACAAAAATCACAACTAAACTTTCACAAAGAGCTCCAGAACAAAAGAAAACTTTTCTCATTGGTTGACAAATTTTCTAACATGAAACTAAAACCTCAAATCTGTAAAGTTACTTTTCGTTCCTCTGCTACCTTTTGCAGGGGCTGCCACAGCTGCGAGTGACATTGCGTAAAAGATTAGTCAGTTGTTTTACTCCGGATGCCCTTCCTGAAACAAATTGGTCTCAAACTGGCAGCCCCAGGATTACAAGGCTGCTGCACTTAACCACTGAGCTACCACTGCCCCTAAAATCCAAAATCTATCCATCTATTATCTTTTGCCCGCATCTTTTTTTTCAGTTGGCGGGGGTCGCTGGTGTCCATATCCAGCAGTCACTGTGTAAGAGGAGAGGCACACCCTGGACAGGTCTCCAGTCCATCACAGGGACACAGAGACAAACTAGACAAACAACCATTCACTCTCTCTCACACCTAGGGATAATTTAGAGTTACCAATCAGCCATGCATGTTTTTGATCTGTGGGAGGAAACCGGAGAAAACCCATACATGCATGGAGAGAACATGCAAACTCCACCCAGAAAATTTAATCTGGCAACCTTCTCGCTGAGAGGCTGCAGCTCTACCAACTGCGCCACCGTGCCGCCCATCCAAAATCCAATTTCCTAAAATAATTTTAATCTTTTATTAATAAACACAAGCACAGAGTAGATCGTACCACATGACTTGTGCAGTGCGACCCCCCCCTCCCTTCTTGAGTCCATATTTACCCTTTACAACTGCTTCCTTCCTCCTCTTTGCCTGCTCTTCTTTGTCCCAGAGGAAAAGCAGAAGAGGAGCATATGTGTCCACCGACACCATTTGTCAGCAGCGGCGGCGGTCGTTGTTAACCCGGGCCTCGACCGATCCAGCATCGTGTCACTAGGATGAACTCCCATGTTTGTTCTGGCCCAAGTGTTTAACACCAGATGCCCTTCTTGATAAAGTTCTGACTATTTCCCCGAGGTTAAGACTGGAAGAGGGATACACTGACTTGTGCTCCCTGGTGGCTGGTTTATGAGAAACACAAGGAGGAAAACAAAAACAAACAAAAATTAACGGCCGTCAACAGTTTGTGATTCTGTTTCCATAGTTCGTTTTAGAGAGCTGTTCAAAAGATTTGAATCATTCAGGATCATCACAGCTCTGGAGTCCATCAAGACCCAACCCCCCCCAGTGGAAATGACATCATCGACTGAGACCACAAATAAAAGATGCTGACCCTGCAGTCTGTCTGTTACGAGCTGCTGGTGGAACATTTACAGTATTGGACTGAGCGTCTGTGTGTGTGGGCTTTAACAGTTTTAACAAGGATCACATTGTGGGTGGGGGTGGGGGGTCTGTACTGGTTAGAGACTTATCTTGCAGTATCACTCAGACACTGAGCAGTACCAGCATGTACTGGTGGACGGATGTGATGGACAGGCATTAACGTTTTGAGTCAAACCCAGTGTAAGATGGCCACCACTCCAAATCAACATTAGCTCACACAAAACTAAGTTTTACAAATACTGAGCTCATTTTAGTGTCCAGATCTGACCTTGAAAAACTAGTCCATGCCTTTATCACTACACGACTGGAATACTCTAATGCACTCTATGCTGGGGTCGGACAGGTCTCCATTTCGTGTCTCCAGCTCGTCCAAAATGCTGCAGCTCGGTTCCTAACAGGAACTCATAGGTTTGACACCAGTTTTGTCCTCCCTTCACTGGCTCCCTGTGAGTGTCAGAATTGATAAAAAAAAAAAAAATCTCATGTTGACCTGTAATTACCTAAATGGCCTTGCACACCATTATCTCTCTGAGCTACTGGAACTTTATGTTCCCTCTCGAGCCTTGAGATCAGCTGCTTTTGGCTGTTCCACAAACAAGATTGAAGCTCAGAGACGATCGGGCGTAGTTGTGGGCCCCAAACTTTGGAAAAATCTACCCCCGCAACATCAGGCAGGCCACTTCTCTTCCTGTTTTTAATCTCTGCTAAAAACACATCTGTTTTCTCTGGCACTTCACAGTATGATTTAATTTACCGTATTTTTTGGACTATAAGGTGCACCTGATTATACGGCTCACTGTCGATTTTATTAGAAAATTAAAGGATTTTAAGTGTGCCTTATGGTCTGAAGAATAAGGTGGTATTTTATTCTTCCTTTAATTTGTGTTTTAATGCTCTTAATTAATTTTTCAGTGCTATCATTATTATTTTTTCCATAAATTTTACTTTCATTGATGTTATTAAGCACTTTGGTAACGGCTGCTGTTTTAAATGTGCTTTATAAATGAAGTCGACTTGACTTGGTAGTAGCTGAGAGTCATTCACAACACAGTCCAAACTCTAACAGGTCATGTGATATTTCAACACATCGTGGTTTGACCAAAATGGCGACAAACTTTATTTCTTAAGGTAAAATCGTCTTGGGATGAAAGGCAGGCGATCTGCATTTCATTGAAGAACGTTAGATCTTTAATTTCAGCTTTCCTTTGGTCATAATACAAAAGAACTCTGAATAATCAAGCAGCCTCATTAGCCTTCAGATTTTAATGTTTCAATAAACTGTATCCTCGTTTAAACTCTTTATTTTGGTCTTGTGTGTCCAAGCCATCAAAAAGTCTTTGTTTTCTGTGTTCGTCCCTAATTTTCACAGATTATGCTGCTGACTGATCCAGAGGTGGAGAGCAGCCTTCTGATCAGCTCCGACGAAGGAGCGACCTACCAGAAGTACCGGCTGAACTTCTACATCCTCAGCCTGCTTTTCCACCCCGAGCAAGAGGACTGGATCCTTGCGTACAGCCATGACCAGAAGGTGAGGCGGCGGCCATATTAAATCCGTCTGAGCGTTAAATTGCACAAGCAGAACCGCGGTGGGATCCGAATGAGTGTGAGCTGCACGGTGCACGGTTTCTTCTGTTCACCGGGTTCACATGGAGGAGAAGAGGGGAAGCAGGAATTATAGAATGGAAAGAAGAAATCAGGAATTTTAAAAGAGGGGGGAAAAAGCAAACTTTTTAAGCTGAAGTTAACTTTTTAAAAAAAAAGTTTGAAAATACAATGAATGGAGAGCGCTGAATGACTGCTGAAACTGAATTATAAATGCAACAAAACACCAGTGGTGGGATGTAACTAAGTACAAGTACTTCATTACCGCACTTCATGTATCTGTACTTGACTTAAGTAGAGTTAAATGTGGGTACTTTCAACTTTTACTCCACTATATTCTACATTAAGTATCTTCACTTTCTACTACACTACATTTCTATAATGCTTTCCATTACACGTTACATTCACATTGCAGTTTTTTTTTTTTTTTTTTTTTTTGTTAGTTTGAAAGTAACCAATGGTGAGAGGGGAGTTGGTCCATTGAGTCACTGCAAAGTGGGAAAGTAACAATAGACCCACCTTCGAGAAGAGCTGGACCAATGACGTATATTGTAGTATATACGTCAGTGAGCTGAGCGCACCCACAGCACCAGTAACACACCCAAACTGGATTCCACCGCAGAGAGTCAGCCAGAAGATACTCACCACCCATGGCCGTATTGAAAGATTATTGAAACCTTATTGAAAGATTATTGAAAGACTGTTCAGTACAGCTGGACAGATTCTCTCTCCCAAAAGAGCCAGACTGGACTCAAAAAACTTTGAAAACCAACTTTTTCTGAACACGAACAATAAATTCTTTCTGCAATATTAAACTGTGTCAGTTCATGGGATGTTAGGAAACAAGGGATGTCTCCAAATGACTCGAGACTCGGATCCAAGTTTTGAAAATGGTGTCAGGAAGTTAAAATATTGTTCACTATTGACCCATTACAAGTTTGACTAGACACTATTTTAACTAGAGTTGATGACAAACTGGAGTTGAACTGATCAGAGTCTATTCCTTTAGTTGTGTCTAATGCTCCTTTTTAAGGCAGACAACTTTTACTTGAATGTTTTTACTGCAGTTTAAAATGACACATTGGTTTTGTGTTAAATAAAAACTTTCAAAGGTAAAATCATTTCTCTTTCTTATTTTGCTTAATGGCGTTTAACTCTGCATGTCATCCCTGAAATTCTGACGCACAGAATCACAAGTCCAAATGTGAACTGTGTCACAGAGTAAACACAATAAAAACATGTATTATCTGCAGCATCGTTCATTAAAATGACTCAACACTATTAATGTATTACAGAAAATATACATACGTAGGCACACAATGATATTGTAGAAACATTCAGCAAGTACTTTTACTTTTAATACTTTAAGTACTTTTAAAAGCAAGTACTTATTTACTTTTGCTTAAGTAAAAATGGCACTGTGGTACTGCTACTTTTACTAGAGTATATTTTTGTTTGTTTATTTGTACTTTTACTTAAGTGCAGTGTTTGAGTACTTTCTCCACCACTGCAAAAAGCAGAAGATGAGCTAAAAACTTCAAAGCAAGCTAGCAAAGTGTTAGCATTAGCATTCTAGCTAATTGCTAAAAGTAGCACGAGAAGACACAATTAGAGCCTTTTTAATCGAAGCAGATTACTAAGAGAACAATGATTCTGAAGAAAATAAAATATCCTCAATGAGGAGAAAGTTGTTTTTTTATGAATAAAGTAAAAAAAAAAAATTGAAAACTATAAAAGTTACAGAAACCAAAAATCACAGCACACATGGTTTGAATAAGCTGAAGGTTTAGACAGCTGACTGAAATATCAAGCTATGGGAAAGGATTTAGATGGAGCGAAAAACAAATGTACAAAAATAAAAGAGAATCAAACAAGAAAACAATGGAGTGGTGCTGAGTCAGCGTTCAGACAATATACGAGCGTCGTGCTGCTTCGGCTTCAAAACATGGCCGTAAATAATATGGAACAGACTGCGGCAAGTTGTGCATCAAAGCTGTAACTCAGATAAAAATAATTTAATTTACTAATTGTTCCACAAAAATCAACCTCCGCACAAGGCTGCAGGGGTGTGATTTATCTGAGAGTTTCTCTGCAGATGGAGTTTAAAACTTTAAACACAACGACAGCAAAGACTTAAAAAAAAACAGATCATATTTGGATTGTGTGACACAATTTGACTGATTATTAAATTTGGCTTTTAAAGAGAATAATTTATAGATATATTAATACACAGATTGAAAACAAAGCGAATGGTTAATACACACACGTACCTGTCGAGGCTTTTAATTACAAAACATTTTCTTTATATACGTACATATATATATATATATATATATATATAAATCTTAACATCTTTATGACTTAAAAAAAAAAAAAGCTAGGATAGAGATTTATGTTGCCAGTCGTTATAGAACAGGTGACTTTATATAAGTATGAAAGATTTTTATTTGTTAAAATAAAAATAAAAAAAGTGTTCTTAAGATCCAACTAAGTTCAGTCAGGTCATCTGGATATTTTTTTTTTGTTTAACATAACTTTCATCCTTCATCCAAAGGACTTCATCAGTTCAAGGAGCCACAACAAACTCAGTTCCACAAGCAACACACTAACAAAGTAGATCAACCATTTTCCCGGTAATAAGATCGAATCTTGGGCCCACTCTCTCCCCCATCGACGACTCTGAGGCCGCCATGGCCAAAGTGGTTCAAAACATCAAAGTTCATGCGCAATAATCCAGATTACAAAATCCAACAAAGTTCAGTCAGGTCATCTGGACTTTTTTTTTTTTTAAGACGTTTCGTCCTTCATCCAAAGGACTTCATCAATTTGAGGAACCACTATTGTTTGGATTGATGAAGTCCTTTGGATGAAGGACAAAACGTCTCTACATAAATAAGAAACTGTCCAGATGAGCTGACTGAACTTTGTTAGATTTTCTAACTGGAATATTGAGCATGGACTTTGGTGTTGCTAAGATGTTTTAGCTTATCCTTGCATCTTAAAATATTTCCTTTTTTTTTTTTTTTTCAAGTTCAGCTTATTTAAAAGTTTTAATCCACCTTTTCACGTTAAAAAGTCGTTTACAAGTTTTAAAAGACTCTTAGGGCCAGAAATAGTTTGATAAAAATTCTTCAGAATGAAACAGAAAAATTTGTTCGTATTCTGCGAAATGTTGTAGAAGTGATGAAGGAGGCAGCCGGTCCACACAGTGAAAGTAAATTACAAAAATCAAGGATAATAAACTCCTAAATATATAAAAAAAATATGGTGGAAAAATCAGATTTTTCTGTTTAGCTGCATTTTGTGAAAATAGTTTTTGATTTCAGAAACAGGAAGCACATTTTATTCTGATTCTGTAAATAAATAAATAAAATAGGCAAATTAAGCCTTTTACACACAAAATAAATATTCATGATTTGTTTCTACAAATAATAAAAATCTTAAAATAAAAAGATAAATTAGACAAGAAGATTAGACACATTTAAAAGCGACAACAAACCATGAGGAGTGTAACCATTAAAGTGTGTAATATTTATTTTTTGTTTATTTATTTGACCCTTTTTCAACAGGTGAAATGTTTCAGAGCCAATTCTCATTTGCAAACATAACCTCAGAGTAACTGTTCTGTAATTTAGCAGATTTCATGAACAATATTATTTTATAAAAGCATATTTTATAACAATACTAAATCTGTTCGTCTTATGATATTTTGATACTTTTTTTGCTCATAAAGGGAGTGAAATTAAGGATTTAATGGACTAACCCAGTTGTTATTAAATCATAAGCAGTTCTGCATCCCACCACATGTTTGTAAGCATTTGACTTTACATTGAATTATTGGTTAGCCATGAGATGGATTAATCATTTTAAATTCCGTTTTACAGTTCCTCGCTACTTCGTGGTTCATTTTTCGAGAACTCGGTCTATCGTGGTTTTTCAAAATAAGATTGAGCACAACACACAATTGGCTGATTGATGGATGAGCTGCATGATCTGCATGGATTTTTTTTTAAAATACTTTAAATTATTTAGCACCTCCTGCCCCTTTGTGCAGCCCACACTGAAGGATAAGCTTCCTCCTGCAGCTGATCAGCTGATCTCGGTGCAGAGCGGAGAAGTGGGCGTGGCCAAGAGCTCTTGCAGGTGGCAGAGTGCAGCAGAGACAAAGAGCTGAAATCATGGCATTCTGTGCTCTTAGAGCGTTTAGAAATATTGTTTAGAATATTGAGATCTTGAGGTTCCCCGTTGCTCCATTTGCTCCCTGCTGTGAGTTTAACGTAGAGTCATTTGATGACGTGAAATGGGCCCACTGCAAGGTCCACCCACCTGTCCAGATTTAAGCTACTGATTCTGACCTGTGGAGTTCTGGGGCCTCGTATACAACGACTTGCGTGGTTTTCCTACTAAAACAAGGCAGTCGCTTAAATCGAGAAAACGGCATACGCACAACTGAATCCAGATGCATGAAGTTGCATGTATGCATGAATCCAAGCACTTCCTTTCGTTTTCCCCAATCAACGAGGAATTGAGCATATGAGGGAATACTTTACTCCTCCCTCAACAAGCCTCCATTCAAAGAGTTAAAGCACGTCTATGCATGGGGAGAATAGGAACTTCATTGGATGTGAGTTAGAGAGACTCATAAAAACATTAAGTTTGGCTTGCTGTCCTCTGGCATTAGCACCAAACACAATAGGAGTGAGTGGGACGATGTGTATAGAAGTTGTGGGAGCAGAGCAGCACACCTGTAGAAATTAAGACTGAATGGTCAGACATCAAGGTGGGTGTGAAGCGGACAACTGCCCGTCACCACTTATATTGTAAATGAATGCATCAGAGCGCTGGAGAAAGGCTGAGGCATTTCCCACTTTACACATGCACTTATTGACGTAACTATTCACACAGAGACAATCAGGGGTAGAACAT